CACTTTGACTTTACTATTTCCTTCCTTCTGCTTACTTTGGGTTTAATTTGCTGTTCTTTTTCTAGTTTCTTAAGGTAGAAGCTGAGGTCTTTGATTTGAGGCCTTCTTTTCTGTTATAGTTTTCCCCCTCACTTATTCCCTAACTCGTGAATTATTTATGTACTTTACTTTTACGTAGATTACAAGCCTTTTAATAGGTCAGTGATATTTTTATTTCACCCTAAGCGCTAGGATGAAGCTCCTAGGGGCAGTGATGCCCAGGAGAGCCACTCAAGGGAACAGTGTGCCTCTAAAGTCAGTAGGTCATAGATCCAAGAGCTAGGATTTGCCCCCAGCTGAGATCCATGGAAAGGGCACATCATAGCCTCAATCCCGACCTAACCTTGCTTGAAAGTCTCACAGAAATTGAGGAAGGTGGAGTCCACGGAAGTGTCCGCCTCTCCAAGGAAACCACATACTTGGGAGACACAGATCCTAGCCATAAGAGTTGAAAATTTCTCAAGAAATGGAATTGGAATATTATGGATAATTTAGGTAAATGATGCCCCCTGGTGGGTACTTTTGACTGAGACAAAAATGTGCACCTTTAGGGCCCACTGGGGTCCAGAGGACCATCGGGCAAGCCCTTGCTTTGACTGGTTGGAGGAAGTATTTACAGTAATCACCTGGTAGGGAGCCTTCAGTATTCTGAAGATAAAAGATCCAAAGTTTTTGGAAGTAATTTCAAAGTTAAAGTTAAAAGAAGTATACAAAGAACTCCCATATACCCTTGGCCCAGAAACCTCAGTCAGATTCCCAAGGTATACCAGTTACCCCAATAATGACCTTTTAGCAAAAGGTGTTGTCACGTTTCTTGAGTCTTTCTGTGACCTTCATGCCCTTGACGCTTACAGACCACCGGCCAGCCGTTTTGTATCAGGTTCCTCAATTTGTTTTGTCTGGTTGCTTCATGATTAAATTCAGGTTCTATGTTTTTGTCAGGAATACCGTGGAGGTGATGCTGGGTTCTTTTCATTGCGTCCTTTCAGGTGACCCTGGAGGTATTTATTTTGATCATTTAATTCAGGTAGAGTTGCCCAGACTTCTTCACTGTCAGGTTACTTTTTTTCTCTTTGCAGTTAATAAATCTTTTAAATATATATAACAAAATTGGCCATTTTAACCATTTTTAAGTGTACAATTAGTAGTATTAACTACACTCAATATTGTGTAACCATGATCACTATATATTTTCAAAACTTTTTTATCACCCAGAACTGAAACGCTGTAAGCTTTAAGCATTAATTTTCCACCCCCTGACCCCCTAGTGACTGCTAATCTACTTTGTCTCTATAAATTTGCCTGTTCCAGGTACCTCAATGGTTATATCTTATGTAGCTATAATACAATGTCAAAACCAAGGTGTGTGTGTAGTTCTGTCATTTTATCACTTGTCTAGATTCATGTAACCAATCAACGTGGAGAACAGTGTGAACGTCACAAAGACCTCCCTGTGCCGAGCCCTTCCACCCTTCACCCCCAGCGACTACTAATCTGTTCTTCATCTCTGTAACTTTGTCACTTCAAGGATGTTATATACAAGCAATCATACAGTATATGATCTTTTGAGATTGGCTTTTGTCACTCATCCTGATTCTCTAGAGATTCATCCAGGTTATTGTATGTGTCCATAATTTGTTCATTTTTATTGCCTGGGAGTATTCTATGGTGTGGATGTGCCACAGGTTTGTTAAGCTGTTTAAGGACCTTTGTGTCACTTCCGGTTTTTGGCTATTACAAATAAAGCTGCTATAGACATTGGTGTACAGGTTTTGGTGTGGACATAGTGTTCACGTCTCTGGGATAAACGCCCAGCGGTACGATTGCTGAGTCATAGGTAGTGGCATGTTTAGTTTTCAAGAAACTGCCAAATCCTTTTCCAGAGTGTCTGGACCATTTGACATTCCCACCAGCAAGGTGTGGAGATCCATTTGCTCCACATCCTCTCAAGCCTATGGTGATGCCGCCTTTTTTTATTTTAGCCATTCTTTTTTATTTTTAGAGACTGGCACCTAGGCTAACATCTGTTGCCAATCTTCCTTTTTTTTTCTTTTCTTCTTCTCCCCAAAGCCCCCAGTCCATAGTTGGATGTTGTAGTTGTGGTCCTTCTGGTTGTGCTGTGTGGGACATCACCTCAGCACGCCTGATGAGTGGTGCCGTGTCCGCGCCCAGGATCCAAACCAGCGAAACCCTGGGCCGCCAAAGCAGGGTGTGTGAACTTAACCACTTGGCCATGGGGCCAGCCCCTATTTTAGGCATTCTTAATTTGTGTTTCCCTGATGGCTAGTGATGTGGAGCATCTTTTCATGTGCTCATTAGCCATCTGCATCTCCTCTTTGGTGAAATGTCTGTTTCTTTTGCCCATTTTCTAATGGGATTGTTTGGTGTTGACAGTTAATTTTGAAGTAATAACTTAATTTTGAAAGTTATTTATATGTTCTAGACATGTGTCTTGGGACATGTCATTTGCAGATATTCTCCCAGTCTGTAGCTTTTCTTTTTAATCCTGTTAACAAGACCTTTCACAGAACAAAAGTTTTAAAATTGATAAAGTCCAATTTATTGATTTCTTTTATATGTGGTGCCTTGGGCATCATGTCTAAGATCCCTTTATCAATTGCTAGATCCAGAAGGTTTCTTAAGTTTTCTTCTAAAATTTTTATAGTTTTACTTTTAAATGTGTGATCTACTTTGAGTTTTGTCTTTGATTTTCTGGTGTCTTTTGTCATAATTTTTTTTATATTATTATTTTTTATTGAGGTTATGATAGGTTACATTGTGAATTTCAGTTGTGCATGATTTGTCAGTCATCTTATAGGTTTACCACTTCACCCCTTGTGCCCACCCCTTACCCCTCTTCCCTCTGGTAACCACTAAACAGTTCTCTTGTCCATGTGTTTGTTTATCTTCCACATGAGTGAAATCATACAGTGTTTGTCTTTCTCTGTCTGGCTTATCTCGCTTAACATAATACCCTCAAGGTCCATCCATGTGGTGGCAATTGGGACAACTTTGTCTTTTTTTATGGCTATAGAAATGTTTTTTTAATCAGTAAATATGCCTATCCTTTCCTTCTGAGTGTTCTGGGTAAGTTAATATTTTTTCTAAATTACCTTCTGGTGTATTTATAGTTTTACTTTCTACATTCCAACCTTCAAACTGTCTGAAAGTTACTCTTCACATGATGGGAGGAAGGGTCCAGCTGTGCTTGCCATGTCCACACTCTGTGCCCGTTGCTATTCCTGAATGTTTTAGACATCATAGTTCGTCTAATCCTCCCTGCAGCCCTGGGAGGAGTCAGCGTTCTGACCTCCATTTCATAGATGGGGAAACTGAGGCTTAGGGAATGTAGGTGATTTGCTAAGGTCACGGGAAGTGGAGGAAATATACGTCTACCTGCTGTTTTGACTTCTTCTGTAGGAAAAATCCCATTCCGGGGGCCGGCCCCATGGCTGAGTGGTTAAGTCCACGCACTCCGCTTCGGTGGCCCAGGGTTCAAATCCTGGGCGCGGATGTGGCACCGCTCATGGAGCTACACTGAGGGGGCGTCCCACATGCCACAACTAGAAGGACCCACAACTAATATATACAACTATGTACTGGAGGGATGTGGGGAGAAAAAAGCAGGGAAAAAAAGAAGATTGGCAACAGTTGTTAGCTTAGAGGCCAATCTTTAAAAAAAAAAAAATCCCATTCTGGCTTTTTATACATTTTTCTATTGGGTTGTGTGATTTTTAATCATTACTGATTTGTAGAAGTTCTTTATATATTTTGGAGATGAGCTATTTTTAGTTACATGTATCACAGATATCTCCTCCCACTCTGTGGCCTGACTTTTTACTCTCTTAATGGTGTATTTAGATTAATAGATTTCTTAATTTAAAAATAATTATATGTTAATATGTACTAAGAAATATATTAATGTGTTCCTTTATGATTAGTGGGGTTTTTTGACCTGCTTAAATTAGCCTTACTTTCTCACTTTTGCATTTTTAAAAGCATTATTGACTTTATAATTAAAACATGAAACGCCGGTAGCAGCTGACCCCGTGGGCCTCACAGTGCTTGTCTCAGCATGCACAGTTCCTTGTATAAAAACGTCAAGTCCCCCAGTTCTCCAGGCCTGGCACCTCTGGCCCAGCTTGGCCCAGGAAAGAGCCACCTGCCAGGCACCCGCATAAGAAGAGCCTCTGCACAGTTTGGGGGTGATGGGGAAGGTGTGGGAGAGCAGTTCTAACCATAAAGCCATTGAGAAGAAATTTCTAAAGTTGGAGGCTGAAAATACTCACAGGAAAGAAATCTCTGTTTAGGGAACCAGAAGGGTGTACAAAGGGCCCTTCACAAAAGCAGTCCCAACAGCCAATGTGCACCTGGGCCCCACAGGTGGCAGCCAGTGCCCTGTGAGGTCTCGGCAATTCAGAAGGAAGCAAAGGCCCTCTGAGACCCTGCGCTTCACAGACAAGGTCTGTCTCCTGGCGACCTTTAGGTTGAAGGGTCCAGAGGACGCTGCCCTTCCATTGCTTCTTGGATGAGGCCCCTTCATCGATTCTTCTCCCTTCCAGCCTCGAGGTAACAAAGTGCTGGCAGACTCCTGGTTTCACCTGCATCAAATGACTGCAGCCCTCCCCACGTGGCACCCAGACCCTCCCCTCTCCTCTCCATACCTGGCCACTTGCTGACCCATTAGTCTCGCTTCCCATCTTGACCCCAGTAATTGACTGATGAAGTGCCTGAGCAAGGATGTGCCCACGCCATGGGTCCCTCTCCCAGTAGACAGGCCCACCCCACCAGGGATGCTGCTCCATCATGGTGCCCACTCCCCAGATCCTGTCCCACCTCACACTCCACCATGCCCCCAGATCCTGCCTTGCACATGTGACTGGCCATTGGCAGGTTCCTGACATACCAACGGGATCTCCCTGCCCACCCCAGAGGCCCCCAAGGATGGAGGTGGCATCCAATTTGCTGACCACAGCCTCTGGACTTTATTCCAGCCCCAGGCCTTGGCCAGGGGTAAGCAGCTGGCTGGAGAGCCACGCCCAGACTCCATGCTGGAAAGAAGGGGAAGCTAGGGATGGGGTTGGGCAAGGCTGCGAACCAGGTCAGCTGTAGCTGCCAGGGTCCGTGTTGTCTGGCAGAAAGTATCGCTGCAGGGTGGGCTGCAGGAGCAGTGGGGGCAGCGGACGGGCAGGTCTGGGCCAGCCTGGGGGGAAAGGCTGCAGTTCCACCCGTGGCAGTGGCAGCTTCAGCATCCGGATGGGGCCGTCAAGGGTGCGGCCTGCCCAGAGCCTGGAAACCATCTGGCCTGGGGGCCAGCATGACAGTGAGGGCTTGGTGTGGGGTTGATATCAGTGGGACCTGGGCTGGGGTAGAGGTCAGCTCCAATTCTACCCCTGTCCCACTCACCCTTCAGTCTCATTGGAGACCCCTGGACCTTGCCCTCCTGAAGCCGGAAGAAGGGGTAGTGCCTGGTGGGTAAGAAGGTGGGTTTGGCTCAGCCTGCCTCTCAGCCGCCCCATGTAGGCCCGGCCCCAGCCTGTGCCTGGAGCCTTGAGGCCCACTCACCGCTGATCCCGGGGCTGTGGCACCACTGTGTTGGGCACCTGTGGGTACAGGCTCAACTGTGCACTCGGGCGCAGGCTCTTGGTCTCAGGCAGGGAGCTCTGCTGCCGTGCCTGCTGCTTGCAGAAGAAGTTGAGCGCATCGATTGTCTCCAGGTCCAGCATGTGCACCTGTGACCACCGTGTCTGCTCCAGTGGCAGTGGCTCATTGGGCAGTGTGGCCAGTGCCAAGGAGTGCAAGTGGACCCCAGGCAAGGAGAAGTGTGGCAGTATCTCAGAGATCCTGCGTCTCGTCGGACAAACACGTAGCTGTGAGAGCATCTGCTGAGCCTGGCCCTCTGGGGTGGCCAAGTTTGGCTCCCCAGGCGAGACCACCAGTGAGGACATCCGGGATTGAACAGAGGGTGTCACAGAGATGTGAATGGGCATCCCAGAGACCATCGAAATCTGTGATAGGCCCTCCTTGGGAGGAGAGGGAAGTGCTGAGGTCTCAGAGATCTTGGATGGCATCTCAGACAGCTGCAGGATTTCCATCTGTGGAGGAGGTGGCAAGTCCAGAACATACCCCAGCCCAAGGCAGAGGCTGCCCCTCCCCCAACAAGTAGGTCCAAGTGGTGCTGCCTCTGGTTCCAAGCCTGAGACCCCGCTGCAGGCTCCCTCCCTGGGAAGAGCGTGAAGATCCCAAGAGAGGGGGATCATGGAGGACAAATGATGCACAGAGCTAGAACGAGGCAAGGAGCCTGTCAGCCTCACCAGGCTCTCCCCGCTGGACTTGGGGAAAGCCTTGGGAGAAGGCAAGAGGCACCACTGGCAGGCGGCCCGCCCCACCCCTGCCAGCCCAGACCTGTAGCTGCTGGATCATTTCCTCCAGCTTCTGGCAGCAGCATTTGCGCAGTGTGGCCTTGGAGTCGAGGTCCTGGCTGTGGACCCAGGTCATCATGTCCTTAAACAGGAAGCCCTGTGGGTCCTGGAGGCCTAGCGCATCCAGCAGCTTCTTGAGCTCAGGCCTGGGACAGGTGTGGGTGGATTATCTGGCGGCCTCCCCCAGCTGGCAAGAAGGTGGGGTAGAGAGTGGGACTCACTGGCAGGAGGCTGGTGAGTAGAGGAAGAAGGACATGAGTTCCAGCACCGCCTCGCGGGACTCCATGGAGCAGGCCATGAGCACCTGCAGTGCCAGCATCACAAAGTGCTTCTGTGTCCTGTCCTGAGCGCAGAGGAGGGGAGCCTGATGGGTGCTGAAAGCCCTGGGTGGGGCTGGCGGGGCGGGACTAGGGGCGCACCTCGAAGCTGGGGGGCTGGTCCAGGTTGAGCAAGCGCAGGAGGATGCCCTGCAGCCGGCTACAGAGGTCTTTGCTCATATCAGGCAGCAGCCTCAGCAGTGCCTGCAGGATGTACACACGGTCCGCCCAGGAGGCCTCTTTCAGCAGGTCAGTGAGCAGAGAGGCCAGGCCCTCCACCGTGCCCACCTCAGGGTACGCCTGCGGGGACCACATGCTGAAACCCTGCCCTGCCCCAACCTGGTTCCTGTCTCCCTACCCCTCCACCCCCCAGTCTGTGCTTCCCAGGCCTCCGAGACTCCCCCAAACCTCCAGGGTGAAGATGGGGAACAGCTTTTTGAACCAGTTCTGGGAGACAAAAAAATGCAGGAAGCTGGGCAGATGCCCGTAGCGCTCTTCCCAGAACGAATGCCCATAGTAGGTCTCGGTCCCGGCAGCAGTGTCCTGGGAGCTCGTGGGCTTCGGGGTCAAGTCCTCTGAGCTCTAGGGAGTAGGGGGAAAGCTGCAGGCTCTGCCTCTCTCTGTCTGCTCCTCCCCGAAGCCCAGCCTAGGGTGCCTACCTGAGCCTCTGGCTCCTCTGACTCAGAGAGCTCCCCATGTGGGCTCAGGGAATCTGAGGCCCAGTCCAGATCCAGATCCTGCTGCTCCTCCTCCTCCTCCTCCTCCTCCTCCAACCACTGGATCTGCTTCTGGTGCTCCTTGGCATGGCGTCGTCTAATGACCCATGGCTGCCACAGGCTGTCCAGGCTTGGGCGTGGCTGCAGAGGGGAGAGTGTTGAGTGGCTGCTGGCACCCTGCAGGGACTCAGTCCCCCTCCCACAGAGCCCTCCCTGAGCCCCTCCCCTTGCCTTAGGTCTGCGGCGGCGGCTGGTGAGCTGGGCCAGGGCTCCAAGGCGGCCAACCTCCCAGGGCAGCCACATCCGCTGCAGCACCGCAGAGTTGGGCACGCAGCCAGGGAAGCGGATCGGCCTTGGCAAGTACTGCAGGGGGAGCACAGCAGGGCAGGCTGAGGACGTGAATTCCACCCCATCCCAGAGACCGCCCTGGCAGAGCACCCTGGCCACCAACCCAGCTCTGCCTGCCAGGTCTCCAAGAGCTGAACTGGGCTCACACCCCCTGCCCACGACACACAGATAGGCAGAGAGAAACTTTAGAAATCAGGTGGAAGGACAGTCCATGAGCCAGCAACTGTGGTAACGCAGGAGAGAAATCTGGGCAACGCTGGCCTCTGGGGAACCCTGACACCCCACATGCTCTCCACAGGACTCAACCCCCAGCCCTGGAGCAGGGACGTCTATAAGAAGCATGGGGTGGTGGGTAGGAGCTTGGAGAGGGAGCTGTCGAGGGCTTGGGTAGACGCTGCAGCAGCTAGAAGGATCAGTGACCCACCTGAGCAGGTAAGAATGCCAGATAGGTGGTGGGGGAGGGGCCGAGGCCTGTCTGGGCATCTGAGGTGGGAGAATATGGGGAGCTTGTGGGATTGCAAGGGGTCAGCTCCCGTTGAATTTGCTCCCCTGAAGGAGGGGACTCTGGTCTCCCAGATAAAGTCCACAGGAGACTCGCCCCCCCCAGCACTTTCACTGAAGGGGGTAATACAGGCCCAACCAGCTGGCAGAGGCTCTGTCTCCCTACCCCTCCACCCCCCAGTCTGTGCTTCCCAGGCCTCCGAGACTCCGAGACTTGCCCAGTGTTGGCTCTGAGAGTCCCTGGCCCCATGGCAGCCAGCTCCCAGGGCGCAAGGAGTCAGGGCCCACAGAAGCAGCAGCATGGAAACTGGGCCAGGTGGGGTGGAGGAGGGCTGCAGGTGAGCATGGCCCTCAGGTCAGATTTGGACACAAAGGTTTGCAGCAGAAGGAAGATGGGGAGCACAAGAAGGGTGCCCCCTGAGGGAGGTGCCTCTAAGGAGAGCAAGGGGGTCTCACCTTGTAGGACTGAATGGTGGCAGGAAAGAAGCCCCCAAGGTTGGAGAGAAGCTCCCTGGGCCGCCTCTTCTGAAGCAGGGGGATCTGAGGACAGGACAGAGGCTCAGAGCTGAGCATGGACCCCAGTGTCCCTGCAGCTCTGCCCTTGGGTGGGCAGCACCCCACCTGCCTTGGCCCCTCACCCTGTTCTGCAGGTGGGAGGAGGATGGGTCCAAGGCCATAGGCTTCTCCGGGTGGAACTGCTCTGACTGCAGTTGCCGGTCCAGACTGAGGCCCAGCTCACAGCTCAGGGAGGAGCGGGCCAGCAGCTGGGGCATGGGAGGAGGAGTCATAGTGTGAGGGACAGAGGGCACAAGGTGAGGGTGAGGGGTGGGAGGCCTCACCTGGGATGCCATGCTGTGCACCCTCCGGAGGATGGGTGGTATGGGCAAGGTGATTCGGGGAGGGCGTGCAAAGCCCCGGCCCAGGGCCCCTAGGCCCTGTGGGGGCAAGGCTGTTGGGGTGTCAGTGCAGACCCCAGCCTGCCCAAGACTGGGGACAACTCTGGGCAGGGTGCACACATCGCAGGTCTCTCTCTCCATTGCAAGGGTCACGATGCTGCACTCTTGGGACTCTCTTTCAGAATGAATGCCCTGGGAGGGGTGGAAGGACAGAGAGGCAGTGTCAAAGGCCCAGGGTGAAGGGAGGGTCTGGGGTCAGGGCTGGGGCTGGGGGAGGCCCCACACTCACCAGCAGGACAGGGCCGTAAATCAGACGCAGGTAGTTATCAAAGGCCTCTTGGCGCTGCTGCCAGGATGGTAGGGGCCGGGCCACTGGGACCACCAGCCCCAGTCTCAGCTGCCGAAGGTCTCGGTCCCGGGAAACTAGAGCTTCAAAGTCCTGGGGTAGGGGTCAGGGGTCAGCCCATTCTTCCTTGAGTCTTGCTATGTGCTGCCCAGACAACCACAGGGATCCCAGGCCTGCCCCAGGAACTGAAGGGGAGGGCCTGAGCCTGGGCAGAGGACAAAGGTAGGGTACTGGGGTGGTGAGGGGGTCAGGACCCACCCCACCTCCTCCAACACTGGCTGCTGAGGTGCTGCTGTCTGGTGATGGATGAAAGACAACGCCGTGCTGCAGACAGGGATGAGCACAGGTGGGACAGTGGGTAGCATGGCCGGTGGGGTTGGCAGAGGCTGGGACAAGGACCCAGGGGGTGGCCAGGCCCCTGGCAGGGCACAGCAAACAGCCAGGAGTGGGGATGCCAGGGCCGGGACAGGCTTGTGGCGGCCCAGGAGCCCTGGAGCCTCGTGTAGGGGATATGAGGCCCTGACGCAGGAGAGCTGGGTAGGGGCCTCCAGGACAGCTCAGTGGGCCTGCTAGCAGACCTAACACTGGCCGCCCTATGCAGGTTGGCGAGCTGCTGCAGCTGGGCTGAGGTCAGCGACTCCTGGCCTGTCAGCGGCAGTGGGGGGTCATCTACCACATCAGGGGCCTTCCGGCACAGCTTCTGAGCAGGAGAAAGGAGCTTATAGCCCTGGCCTAGGGGGCTCGTCTGCCCTCAGCAGCCCCACCCTGCCCACCCTGTGCTCACTGCACACCTTAACCAGGTAGGATGTGGGCAGGTAGAGCATGTGGGATACCAGGCAGAGGCGGGAGCCCAGCGCCAGCACCAGGTCCCCACTGTTGCTACAGAAGGTCAAGGCCTGTGGGGCGCCATTCAGCTGCAGGAGCCTGGAGGGGTGTCCAGGGCAAGAGTCCAGCCCTGCTCCACAGAGTAGAAAACTGAGGCAGCAGCAGGTGCAAGGCCCTCTCTCCCCTTTCCAGCCAATGGGTTCTGGTGGGGGCAGAGGTAGGAGAGCCCAGGCTCCCAGCCCACCAGACTCCCAGCCCCTCCCGCCCTCCCGGCCACAGCCCACCGCAGCAGGCGGTTCTCTGCTGTCCAGATGCGGATGGTGCAGTCCAGGCTGGAGCAGGCATACAGCTTGAGTGTGGGGCAGCAGCACAGGCCTGGGGGCCGGGGCTCAGAATCAGGCACCAGAGCCATATGGTGGCCTAGGCTTCACCTTTGCCCTGCCCCCTCACCGGTGATGTGGTCCATGGGGTCATCCTGGGGCCGGTGATCATAGCGTGGGCTGTTGCCCAGGCCAAACTGCACCAAACCATAGGTGGCGCTGTCCGGGTCCTCAAAGCCCACAGTGATGCGCTGCCCAAGTGCACAGAGCACCACGGCTGGGTGGCAGCAGGAGAAGCTGCGCAGCAGGCTCAGGCTCTCCTCAGCATACGGGAAGACCCGCCACACCTTCACTGTCAAGTCTCCGCCTGCGGGGCGAGAGCCAGGGCTGGGCCTTTGGGGAGGGAAGGGCTTCCCAGGCCAGCTATGGGGGAGGAGAGGTACTGACCCGAGGACACAACGCTGTTCCAGGTGGACGCAATGGCAGTGACCGGGCTGGGGTTGTGTGCCTCCGTATGGAAGACAGGGTTTGACGAGCGCCACTCGAGCACCGACAGCGTGCCATCCGTGTACCCCACCACGGGCAGGTACCTACGAGCAAGAATAGCCTGTTGGCGAGGGCCCTGTCGCCACACCTGGCCCTTGATGGCTCTGGCACTCACCGGTTCTTGTCCTTCCAGGCCCAGGCCATGTCGCTTCGGCACAGCTCGCCCCCGCGCTGGCGCACGATCTCCCATATGGCAAATGCACTACTGGGGTCTATGAGGTGGCTGTAGAGGTGCAGGCAGCAGGGCCTGCGCGCCGGGGGCGGTGGAGGGCACACGCGGTGCAGCACGCGCATGGGGCAGCGCGCCGCGTTGGCGCACACCAAGTGTCCGGCGCGGGTCAGCAGCCACAGCTGTTCCCGCGGCAAGCAGTAGGCCACGGCGGCCGCGCAGTCGTTGGGCTCGAGCAGCAGAGCGCTCACGGTGCGCCCGGTCGCGACTGACACCAGGTAGACCGCGCCGTCGGCGCACGCGCACACGAGGCGCGCGGGCAGCGGTGGGTGCGGAGGCGCCGGTAGCGGCGGCGCCATCTGCAGGTGGAGCACCGGCGCAGACAGCTGCGCCAAGGGTGAGTAGAGTTCGCGCAGGCGCCACAGCTCCAAGCTGCTCTCGCGCAAGGAGAGCACCGGCCAGCCGGGGCCGGCGGGCGCCAGCAGGCGGTTCACGCGCCGGAACCGCATGTCCTGGACCCAGCAACACAGCGCTACCTCGCCCACCTGTGCCGCAGCCTGCAGGTCCCACGTGCGCAGCGTCCGGTCCTGCGAGGCCGACAGCACCAGGAACGTGTTCGGGAGCACGGCTATAGCTGTCACCGGGCCTGCGGGAGGGGCGCAGGTCACTTGGGCGCACCAGGGACTGAAGGAAGGGGAGCCAGCACCCCGGGTTGCAGCCAGTGCAGAGAACCATGGCTAGAGCCGGTGGAAATTCTGGACCTCGGAGGCTGCACACAGGGTGGAGAAAGAATGGGCCCCAAGAGCGCACCTGTGTGGCCCACAAACACCATCCGGATCTGCCAGTCAGACTCCCACACCTTCACAGTGCTGTCCCAGGAAGCCGTCACCATAACCTCTGCCGCTGCACAGTACGCCAGGTCGGAGATGGTGCTGGTGGGGAGAGGAAGGCCGGGCGGACTCAGCACCGCCTCGTGTGCGTGCCTGAGTCCCTGCCATAACTGGCGTTCCCTCGCGGACTCGCCTCATGTTCCCCATGTCCCTGCCCCCCCCCCCCCTCACGTTTTGTGCAGATCCCGTTGCACATCTATGAGAGCCCAGGTATGCAGATTGAAGGTGAGCACGGCGGAGCCGCAGGCCGCAAAGCAGCACAAGACGTCGTCGGGAGGCAGGGGCCCCAGAGCTAGACGCGTAAGGGCACCCATGGGGCTTGGCGGTAGCTGCAGAGGTGACCTGTGCTGCACCAGGCGGCGACCTCCTGAACGAAACTTCCAGAGCGCCAGGCTGTCGCCTGCCTCCGCCACTAGCAGCAGGCCCAGGTCCGGCACCGGCAGACAGCAGATGGGTTCGCGGCCTGGTGCCCTGTGCAACCCTCCTGGCTGGCTCAGCCACAGCAAGCTGAGGTCCGGCCTGAGTATGGCCAGCCCCGCGGGGCCCCAGCCCACAAAGCGGCCCACGGTGCCCAGTGGGCCCAGCACTGCCACCAGCCCTGTGAGCGCGACGGGGGCCAGTAGCTTCTCGCGGGCCCAGCCGTCCTCTCTATGCAGGTGCAGCCAGCCTGCGCGATCCAGTGCCACGAAGCGTCTGCCCACCGGGTCCTGAGCCACTGAGCACAGCCCAGCTGCCACCTCCAGGCGGCGCAGCGGCTCCAGCCCGTGCGTCAAGCGCGCCACACTCAGCTCGGCTCTCTTTTCCTGCGGGATGGGACGTACAGGCCTGTAATCAACATAGGGGGAGTTGGGGCAGGCAGTGCACCCACCCAGGGGAGCAGAGAGGTTTCCGCCGGGGTCGTGCTGGGGACCCCTAGGAGAAGAGCCGAACCAGGAGAGAGGTCTCAAGGCAGATGCCAAGGTGAGCCACACCTTTTCCACGACGTCATGGAGGCCTATACGTAGGAGCAGCCACAACTGGCGGGCACGGGCTCGCAGGGTCAGGTTTTGCCACCGCAAGGGGTTGATAAAAAGCCGCGGAAGCGCCTCTGAGAACGACTCTGTGGGCCGGTGGTGGAAGCGCCGTCACTGTGTGGCCTTGGGCACCTAACCTTTGGGGTTGTTGGCAGCCAGGAGCCCTCTGCAGGGCCCTGCAGGGTAGGGGACAGCCTGGGGAGCGTTGCGTTCTTGGCGGACAGAACCCGCGCCTGAGTAAGGCCTGCTTTCAGGTGGGCTATCTGGGGGGCAAGGCCAGGCCACCTCACCATTTTTTTCCTCAAGCAGCCCCGGGTCCGGTTCTTCATAGCCGTCAGGATCATCCAGGTCCTGGTCCAGAATCGGGTTGTCGCCTTCTCCTGCATAGCGGTTGCTTGCACCGAACACATCCATGTCTCTTTCAGCAGCTGCAGGTCCAGGCAGCTCAACAGCCCCTGCGACCGTTGCTTGGATACCGGACGCCGAAGGCCCCGCCCTCGACGCAGGCCCCACCCCCTACGCCGCAGGGAACCTAGGTCCACACTAAGTCACAGAAACTTTTATTGGAAACAAACGAGCTGCAGCAAAGTGACACTCAGTGCACGCTGCCCAAAGGGCGAGGGGGGAGAGGGTACAGGTGGGCGCCAGGGGCCAGCCCAAGCCCAGGGCGGATGACCGCTGGGGCCAGCTTGCTGGGTCTCAGGCCCTTTGGGCTGGAGTGTGCAGGCCCAGGGCTGACCCAGTACAAAATACAAAAATAAACTCTGTGGTCCAGCTGTCCCTGCCTGTGTCAGTTCGTTTGGGCAGGGCAGTGGGTTTTCCCACCAGGCCCTGTGCCGTGCTGTCCAGTCCAACCACAGCGCGGGTAGCAGGAAGCCTGTGGGGGCGAGTGGCCGGCGATAGGCTGGAGCCAAAGGGCTAGGTGGGCGTGGCCTTGGGCTGCGCTGGAGCTGCGGCAGCACTAGGGTCTCCCAGCAGGTGGGGAGGCCCTGGGGCCCCTCAGGTGGGCAGGTCCAGGCACTAGTTGAAGCTGGGTGAAGCTGGGGCCTCTGCTTCTTCTCCTCACATACAGATCACTGGGACCCTGGCAGAGAGCAGCACATGGTGAGCCCTGAGGAACCAACACCCAGGAGAGCAGGGAGAGGGTGCCTCACCCTGCTCTGCCCACCCCAGGCTCCAGGGAATCAGGCCACAAAACCATCACACACCTGTCCTCCTCCATGGCACTGGTCTCCTCGGGTCCGCCCTCACTGCCTCCACCTCCGCTGTCTTCCTCTTCCTCTTCCTCCTCTCCCAGCTCCATGTCCAGCTCATTGCCGGCCTCCGAGGGAGTGTAGGTGGATCCACTGGGAGGGGGTGAGGGGGACTGGTCTTAGGACTGCCTACCCCTGGCCTGCTGCTGGCCCCAGGGAGGACAAAGTCAGGGGGGCACTGCTGGGGAAACGGTACGTGGGCCAAACAGGGAACTGGGTGGAAGAGAAACAGGCACCAACCTGATGGAGCGGCAGCTGAAGAAGACAATCCGCTTAAGCCGCTTGTTGTAGAAGAAGTAGTTGAAGGACCAGAGGCTGCCATCCTCCCCAAAGGGGTCTGAGTCCAAGTCTGGGTTGTAGCTGGGGAGTGTGGAGTGAGGGGTGGTGTGAGGCCCCGAGTGCTGCACATACTCAGGGCCCACATGCAGGGATGCCAGCCCACCTGTAAATGTCACATTCGGCTAGGCAGATCTCCTCATCCACTGCGTTCCACAGTTGTGGCTTCAGGGCCTTGAAGTCCTCTCGCACGGCCGAAAACAGACTGCAGTTAACGGCGTTCACCACCTAGGATGGTCACAGTTGGGCATGAACAGGCATGAACCAGACAGAGCCCAGGGGCCACCCAAAGTGGGGGAAGACAATGCAAACAGCTGTAGGGCTGCAGGTCCTGTCCCCCACCGGAGCCTCACCCAGCTGAGGCTGGGCTCCCGGCTGAACTCGTGGCTTCGGGCGGTGCTGAAGTCATAGTCGGGCCGGAAGGACTCATTGAGTGTGGCGATCAGGTAGAAGAGGGTCTTGCGGCTGCACTTGTCGCTGAGGGGGCTCTCGTCCTCACCACCTTGGCTCTTGCTCAGCCTGCACAGAGACAAGTGTCAGTCTAGCACTGCCCTGCACTCCACAGCCCCAGATGGGCAGGCCCTGCCCTGGCTCACCTGCTGGGGCTGAGGCCCGAGGTCTGGGGTGGGGACAGTGCCTCCAGCACGTGTGGCTGGCCCTCCTGGCAGAACTGCTTGAACATGTGCTTGTCGTCTCCTGCCATCTTACATGAGTAGCTCTCAATCCTATGGGATGCAGGCGGGACCATGGAGCATGCCACCCCTCAGGTCCAACTCAGGGCCAGGGCAGAGTGACCTCTGAGACACCAGCCCCTAGAGCCCTGGCCTCACCTGCCGATGATGTGGGCATCTCCAGTCTCCACGGTCAGCTGCGAGTTGATGGCCTCAAAGCTTGAGTTCTCCAACAGCTTCATGTCCTTGCGAAGGGGGCCCTGTGCTCCGAGGAGCTAGTGCTACCTGAGGGTGGGAGGCCAGTCCATGGGTATCTGGGCCCTGGGGCTCCACCTTCAGCCCTCCTCCCAAGTAAGCGGAGCCGCTGTAAACAAGCTGGGTCCCTCCCACAGCCTGCTCCCAAGCCCTCTCCAAGCCCTCGGCACAGGCAGGAGAGGCGATGAGATCCTGTTACCCGAGAGTGGCAGGTCCAGGCCCCAGCTCAGCCATGCCCCCTGCACCTCATAGGAGTTCTGGGGCCCGGCTGGAGGCCCACTGGGGCTGCTGCTCACCCTGAGGCTGCTGGCTTAGTCTCTCCCTCAACACTCCCATCTCGACAGAGAAGCCCACCCACCATGGGGGTCACTGTGAGCCCGCAAAGGAACAGGACTCCTGCCGTGCCCGTCCGGCCGGGCTCCGCAGCCAGGGTGAGAACCCAGACCCGCTCAGGAACCAGTGCCCCTGCGGTCGCCTGGACGCCGCGCTCTTCCCTGTTCTGCAGGATGCCTTCCGGCGAGGGAGACAGGGAACGCAGAGGCTCCTCCGCCCTCCTCCACAAGCGGACCCCGGGCGCAGAGGAAGCCCCAACCCCTGAAGGGCCTGTCGGCGCCACACACCCGGGGCCGACCCCCGGAGGGCCCGTCCACACTATGCGCCCGGGGCCGTGCGCCCGGACGCGCACTCGCCGCGCGGCCTGCTGGGGGCTGTAGTTCGGGGCCCCGGGCGGCGCCGGCGCAGGCGCAACCTACCTGCTTGCTGCGCTCAGCCGGGCCGGGCCGGGCCAGTCGGTACGCGTTGGCGCGGGTGAGAAGGCGGGGCGGGCTACGGGAGCGCGGGCTCCTCAGGACCGGAGGGCGGCGCCGCGGCCTCCGCTCGGGCCGCACTGTCTCCGGAAAAAGAAGCTCCGCGGCGACGGCCCGTTACTCCCGGCCCTGCCGGCCCACCCGGGCCGCGACCGCGACATAGTCTCGCCCCTGCACGGCGCCCGACTATCGCGACAGACCTGCCCGCCGACCGTCACAGACCGCCCTGGCGAGCGAGCAACCGACCGACCTCTGCCTCCTCCGGCCGGACAACAACAAGCGTCTGAAGGCCCGGCCCCTCGCCTCGGAATGGCCCGCTCCAGCCGCCGGGATCGAGAGCTCGATAACCATTGGCGACACTACCCGCCACTCAGTCCTGTCTTCCATTCCTACTGGCTGGGGCCCATGTCCATCACTCTTCTCGCGTGCGAACCCGCCCCCCCTCCCTGGCGATCATTGGTCACGGCCCTTCGCTTGCCCCGCCCCAGGTGGCCGCCTGGGTTGGGAGGACGCTGGCGGACCCGCACTGTGTGGGCGGGACTGGGCAGCCCAGCGGGCGGCCGGGGGCGGGCCGGTAGGGGCCTTTGAGCGGCGTCCCCCTCCCGCCGGGCGCTGGAGTAGACACGAAGCGCGGGGCTGCAGTCTGCGCCTGCCCGAGCCTGTAGGGCGAAAGGGCCGCGCCCACCTTCCAGTAGTGGCCAGTGCTTCCGTCCCTGACACCTTGCCCTGGCAAACAGGCCTTCAGGCCCAGCCTCTCCCGCCCGTGTCCGGAGACCCTCGGGCCGTGTCCACGAAGGGCAAAGCAGGAGGGTCAGACTGGGCCCCTTCCTGGGCTCCGACGCTCTGGCTGCGCCCGGAACCCCAGGCTCGCGGCCCGGGTTTCTGGCCGGCGGAAGCGCTCAGCGCCGGAGCCCACGGAAGCGGACTCGGAGGGCGGGACGGGGCCGGACCGGAGATGGCGCCTCCGGCGGGCGGCGCGGCGGACCCGGACCCGGGCTCGGCCGTGGTGCTCCTTGCCGTACACGCCGCGGTGAGGCCGCTGGGCGCGGGGCCGGACACCGAGGCGCAGCTGCGGAGGCTGCAGCTGAGCGCGGACCCCGAGCGGCCCGGGCGCTTCCGGCTGGAGCTGCTGGGCGCGGGGCCCGGGGCGGTGAGTGGGAGCCGCGGGGTCGCGCGACCGGGCGGGGCGCGGAGCCCAAGTCCAGGCCCCTCTGCTTGCCAGCTGCGTGCCCTTGCGCAGTTGACTTTTCCTTGCTTCCGTTCTCTTGTCTGTAAAATGGGGATAATGCAGGTACCTGCCTTTACAGGACTACTGTGAGGGTTTCTTAAGATAATACTAACGAAGGGCTTAGGACAGTGTAAGTGGTCTATAAATGCTACCTCATATTCCTTTGAGCGTCATGCAGTATGTGCTTGGGGGGGGGACACTGAGCCTGGACTCTCCCCATCCTCAGGTCAATTTGGAGTGGCCCTTGGAGTCAGTCTCCTACACCGTCCGAGGCCCCAGCCAGCATGAGCTGCAGCCTCCACCTGGAGGGCCTGGGACCCTCAGCCTGCACTTCCCCAATCCTCAGGAAGCTCAGCGGTGGGCAGCCCTGGTCCGAGGTGCCACCGTGGAGGGACAGAATGGTCAGTGCCCTGGGGCGAAGATTCATTTGGTTGGCTAGGGACTGTGTTAGCGCTGGGAAAGAGCAGGAGTAGACCCGGCCCCCCAGGCCTGGATGGGGGAAGTAGTGGGGAAAGCTGGGGTCCACCTTACCCACTGCTGGGGTTCTGGGAAGGCTCTCAAGGAGAAAGTGAAGAAGAGGAATATAGATGAAGAGCTGGAGTATCAGACAAGTTTGGAGGGGCAGAGCAAGCAGGCCCTCAGGACCCGGGTGAGAAGACAAACTATATTAAAAGCAATGGGAAGGTATTCAGTGAGAGAGGGCCAGGCTCAGATTTGAGCTACTTAAGACTGAGACCTGCATTCATGTGGGTGGTGCGTATAGAGCTGGAAAGGTTTCCAGAGGTGCTTAGGAGATGGAATTGGCTGGATTTCATGGCTGTTTAAGTGGAAGAGTTAGTGGTTGAGAGAGAAAGATGGAGGGACCAGATAACTGTGGGGCTCCCAGATAGCATGTTTGGAGGGCATGGAGGTGGCCAAGTTCTTACACATCTAGGGGGAGGGGGTAGATGGATCTCGGCTGGAGCTGGGGCTCTGGAGAGGTAAAGATTGGAGGTATAAAAGGTCAACCAAGGTCACCAGGAAGCAAGAGAAACAAGAAGAGAAGAGGGCCCCACAGGCAGGCAGGCAGTGCGCCAGGTGGACAGTGCGCCAGGCAGATAGCACACCAGGTGGACAGCGCACACAGACAGTGCCCCAGGCAGACAGTGCACCAGTCGGACAGCGCACACAGACAGTGCCTGAGGGAAGGAAGGAGCCCACGGATGCACCAGAAGAGCTGCCAGAGGGGCAGGAAGAAAACCATACAGTGTGATCTAAGGCAGGCCAGACGATAAAGCATTTGCACAGGCAGGAAGGCTTTTTTAATTAACTCATTCGTCTATTCACCAGGTGTGTATTCCGCACTTGCTCTAAGCACTCCTTTAGGCCTTGGAAATTTAGCATGCTTGAAACCTCAAATCACTGCCCTCTTGGAGCTTGCGTTTTTAGAGAGGAGGCAGACATATAAAATAAACTTCTGTCAGATGGTGGAGAAGATAGGAGTGCTGGAAGGGAGGGGTTTGCACTTTAAAATAGGGTGGCAGGAAAGGCCTCATGAAGGTGACAGAAGTGAAATTTGAAGATCCTGGTGCTAGCCAAGTGACCAGGGGGCAGCAGGTACCAAAACTCTGAGGTGAGAGTGTTCACATGTGTTCTTTGGAGCTTAGCCAAGGCTGGGCCGGGCCTGATGCTGGGTGCTTGGGAGCCCTGCTTATTTCAGTGGGCAGGCAGCTCAAATTGCCAAGGGCCTGAGGCTGTCACAGGAACTGCATCAGCACCAGGTGGACTGGGCCTCAAGTGGGAGGTAAGAAGGGGAGACAGCAGTGCACCCAGCTCTGTAAGGACAGTCAGGGCAGGCAGTGGCCCAAGCAGGTTTGTTTTGAATGGGAGCAGCCCGAGGTGTTCTGGTTGATGGTAGAGACAGGAGAGGGGCTGGAGGTCCCTGAGGGCACCAAGAGGAAGCCACCCTGACTACAGGGCTCCCAGTGAGCAGGAAGGGGCAGGCTCCTTCTGAGGACCTGCGTTGATTCTGCTCTGAGGCCAAGGGAGCATCCCTGGCTGGCTGAGAGGACCTGTGGACGCCAAGAGAAGTGGCCCAGCCTCTGGAGGAGGGGTACAGGTGGGCCTGGATCAGAAAAGGGTCCAGAAGGATCCAGAGCCCAAGGACAAGCCATGTGCAGCTCCAGCTGAGAGGAGTCAGCAGGGACCTCTAAGAGGTTTGCAAGGGCCAAGGCTGGGGGGAAAGGCCTGGCCTGAAGTGTGGCCAAGGCAGGACCCTGGCATGGGTTGAGATGAGGGGGGAAGAGGTAAAGGTCCTGGAAAGCTGAGGTCAGAAAGTGGAGGCCTGGGTGAGTACTAGGTTGAGGGGCTGAATCTCGGGAGACCACCAGCCCACCCCCATCTTCCCTCCTAGGCAGTGACAGCCTGCCCCCAGCCCTGGGCCCAGAAACGTGCCCTGTTTCTCTACCCAGTCCCCCTCCACCCAGTCCCCCTGAAGTGCCCACAGCCAAGGTCCCCCAACCCAAGGTGGATCTGCCCTGGAGCCCTGGAGACTTGATGGAGAAAGGTAAAGGCAGGTGACTGGAGGGGGTTGGGTGAAGCAGCCTGTGCCTGGCTGTGATGGCTCTCTCTCTGTCCCTACAGAAGAGCTGGTGGGGCGCCTGGCCCGGGCCATCGAAGGTGGGGATAAGAAGGGGGCGGCTCAGACAGCAGCCATCCTGGCCCAGCATCATGTGGCCCTTAGGGTCCAACTCCAGGAGGCCTGCTTCCCTCCTGGCCCCATCAGGTGAGGCCTGGGACTTCTTCTTCACCCTGCCCTCTCAACCGTCCCAGGTCCCTCATCCTTTCCCTGACCTACACTCTGCCAGGCTACAGGTCACAGTTGAAGACGCTGCATCCTCTGCTCACGTCTCGCTGCAGGTACACCCCCACTGCACCATCGCGGCCCTCCAGGAGCAGGTGAGCACGGGGTCTGGGAGGCCTGCCGGAGGCTAGTGAGCCCCGAGTGACACTGTCTGGCTCTGACACTCTGGCCCCAGGTGTTCTCGGAGTTTGGCTTCCCGCCCGCTGTGCAGCGCTGGGTCATTGGGCGGTGTCTGTGTGTGCCCGAGTGCAGCCTTGCTTCCTATGGCATCCAGCGGGACGGGGACCCTGCTTTCCTTTACCTGCTCTCAGCCCCTCGAGAAGCCCCAGGTCAGTTCTTGATTGGGGTAGGGTGAGGAAGGTGGGGTGCAGTCTGACATGGCCCTGAGCCCCACCTTATCTACTGCAGGTCGCAGCACTCAGCGCCCCCAGAAGGTGGATGGGGAACTAGGCCGCTTGTTTCCTCAGTCACTGGGGCTGCCTCGAGCCCCTCAGCCAGCCAGCTCCAGCCTCCCCAGCCCCCTTCAGGTGCGCAAGGGACTGGGCAGGGTGAGCCTGGGCAGCTGTGGGTGTTGGAAGGAAAGGGTAAGCAGCAACTGTCTCTCCACCTCCTTAGCCTGGCTGGTCCTGCCCTTCCTGCACCTTCATCAATGCCCCAAGCAGACCTGGCTGTGAGATGTGTAGCACCCAGAGGCCTTGCACTTGGGACCCCCTTCCCTCAGCCTCCACCCAGCAGCCACCAAAGGTACCAGAGGCAGAGCCAGGGGAGGGGATAGGGACAGGGCAGCGAACAAGCTGAATGGACACTCGTCTCCCCCCTGCCACCAGGTCACAAAGAGAGAGGATGGCCTGTTCCTTCCAAGCCCAAGGTCCCTGGACCCCCTCCTGAACCTCTCAGGGGACCTCTGCTGACTGCTCTCTGGGGACAGAGCCAGGGTTGGGGGAGGGGCCACCAGAGTCATTAAAGACACTTCTGAGCCAGCCAGAGTGCCCCTTCACTGTGCCTTTGTGCAGACTGGGCTGCTGGGAGGATGGAGAGCAGGGCATAGCTGCACTTGGATGAAACTTGGCAGAGATGGGGCCTGGCCCTCATCAGCAGGCAGGGCTTCCCAGCCAGGCCCAGGTGACTGCTGAAGAATGTACTTGGACCCCAAGTCTCAGGAGTCCTAGGAGCACGGCACCAAGATCTCTTCCCAGACCCCAAGGGCTTGTAGAGCCCGGCTGCTGACCACTGGGCTGGGGCCCTCTGTGATTCCCCCACCCAGCTGGCCATGCCTCCTATTGTCCACCCGGAGCTCCTGAGGCACACACCCTCCCTAGATCTGGCCACTACTCCCCTGGGCTGCTCCAATCAGAATATCCCTTATATTCCCTTCCTGGGGACAGGAAATGCTCACAAGCCAGAACCCTGTGCTACTAGTAAGACAACACCTCCCTGGCCCTCCTGCCACTGACTGTCCTACCCTCACTGTGTATTGCTGTGTGAACCCAGCCACTGCCTAGCTGGCTGGCTTGGACTCACCTCGAGCTGCCCTGTAGATTGCTAGGAGATGCCATCCCATGACAAACACCCGGACACCTCTCCACCCTGCCTCCCTCCAGTGTGACCCTTATCAGTGGACAGCACCTCCAGCTGTCCAGGCAAGAGACCAGGAGCACATTCTAGGTGGTCTCTGCCTTATCTCTTCTTCTCCATACTGCTGGGAGTGGTCTCCCTTCTCTCCCAGCCACCACCCAGCCTCACAAACATCTCCTGCAGCTCCTACTTTAGGCCAGTGTTGAAATGGTGCCAAGGGCTCCTTGCTGCTCTCAGGATGAAGGCCAGGTGGTTCAATAAACTGACACTTGGTTGGTTTCTCCAGCAGGTCCTTTGGCCCCTGGACCAGCCAGGCCAGGCCCTTTTCACTTCCATGACTGGGTACTCCCCCCCTCGATGAATGCTGTCACCTTCTCTAACAGCTAGTTCTCTGCTTCCTGTCCCACATCCAGTACTGACTGGAATCCCAGCCACCAGTCAGTGCAGGGCTATGTTGGCCATACGACATGGATAACCCTGGGAGCTCTGAGGGCAAGAGCCTTAGTCCCAGAGTCCCTTGCAAACCTGTACTCCCATCACACGATACCTCAAATGTGAGTGTTGAGAAACTTAATTTATTTCCACAATGGGGGCTGAAGGATCTGGACCTAGAGCCCAGCCTCCTGCGCCCTCCCCTCTTGTCCCAGAGGAAGAGGGACTTGGCTGAGAAGGCCAGCTGAAGCCTGAACAGGCCCAGGACAGCCCCTTGGCTTGAGGACCCATTCAGGCAGGGGGACAAGCAGACATCGGGCAGGGTCACTTGGGCGGTCGATATGCCAGCTTCCGGCTCTTCAGGACTGACCACTTATGCCGCTTCATGGCATAGACCAGGGGCAACAGCAAGCCCATCATCATCAACATCTAGGGATGAGGCAGGCTCAGAGGAGAGAGGCAGAAAGGATCCCCGCCCAGCTCCCAGCTCCTCTCCCATGCCCCCTGCCCAACCCTTTCACCTTGAGCCCCATGCGTTTGCGATGGTCGTGCTCTGGCTCAGACGCCCAGCGTAGGAAGGTACACACATCCTTGGCTACCTGGGACATGGTAGCTGGGGTGCCTGGGCCAAGGACAAGTGGTAAGGGCTGCCCTTGGAGACCCCTGCCCAACCTGGGGTGTCTCACAGAGCATCCCCTTCCATGGAGCAGAGGTGGGCTCCTACCCAAGGCTTCAAAAGGAATGGGACTGACCCCCCCCCCCCCCAAGCCAAGTACACAGACAGGAGTCTGAGCTGGACGGGGCTGTGAAGGCTGCACATGAGCCTCCTCAGATATGCACAGACGGTACCCCAGCTTAGGAGGGGGCAGGACCTCCTGGGCATGAGAACACAAGGGAAGCATCCCTGGCAGGCAGAAAAATAGAACCCAGCTTGCCCATCCCCAGGGTGGGGGCCTCTCACCATCATCAAACTCCAAGACCTCGTTGTAGATTGGAGGAGCCATACCAATGGCTTGGCCAGGAAAGTAGGGGTTGAAGTAAAGGCCTTCTCGCAGCGACACCCCGGTGGGTGGCTCACAGTAGCCGGTGAGCAGGGAGAAGACATAGTCTTCACCACCGTGCCTGGAACCAGATCCATGCCTCCTCAGCCCCTGGCAGGAGGCTGATCTTCCTCCCCCTCCCCACACTCCCTTGCAGGCAGCCCATGTACCTAGCTCGGATGATGTAGCTGAGGTCAGGGGGCAGTGCTCCATTGTTCGCTGCTCGAGCAGCCTCAGGGTTGGGGTATGGTTTTGGGAAGTAGTCAGACAGCTTCCCTGGCCGCATGAACATCTCCCCGTCCTCATTGGGGCCGTCCTGAACCTCCACCTGCCACCAAGAGCCCCATCACAATCTTGCTGTCCACCACAGTGTGAACCCCAATCCCTGGGTACTCTGCATTCCCAGGCCCCGCACCTCCTCGGCCAGCGCTTTAGCTTCATCCTCTGTGTAGCACACACCGACCAGGTGGCGGTAAGCCACGTAGTCCATGCTGTGGCAGGAGGAGCACACCTGCTTATATACTTGGAAACCTCTCCGGATGCTAAAGAGAGGGAAAGAGTTAGAGATGCCAAGGACTCCACCCCACCCAGTCCACCCAGAAACTCCCCCAGCCAGCCAGCAGCACACCTGGTGTGATCCAGGGATGAGAGGAGGCCACGGTGGGACCACGGATAGCTGGGGGGGTGCAGCTCCAGGTCACTGGCACTCACGGCAGAATGCAGAGCCACAGCCAGCCCTGCACCCCCTGCCGCCAGCATGCCCAGCGCTGACAGCATCACTTTCCGGCCCCGGGACAGACCGGACTTCGACGACAAGGACACTGCCTGCAAGAGCCCCGCTCAGCGCCTGCCAGAACACTGCCCAGCCCTACCTGGGGATGTGACCTCGGCGCCTAACTCTCCCACTCATTCACCCAGCACTGGCCACCTCCTGCGGCTGCCAACAGCACACGCTGCGCCCCTGCCCGCCCCACTCCTCCCGGCTGCTGACCCCCGACCGTGATTCGGCCCTGAGGAAGGGTGTGAGACGTGTTCTTGGGTCCTGGGCCGGGGAGCAGGCCGAAGTGAGCAAGAGTGCTGGGGCAGGCCAAGGTCACAAGCAGCTAGCCGAGGTCAGGCTGAGGTCACTCCAGAACGCGGGCCCGGTCTGGAAGGTGGGGCGGGAGCGGGCCTGGGCGCGCCCGGGGAAGCCCCAAGCCGCGACCCGGCAGAGAGCCCCCCGCCGCCCCCACGCCCGGCACCTGGCGCGCCTGCAGCTCAGAGGAGTGGGCGCCGGGCCCTGCTCCCAGGCGCCCGAGGTCGGCAGGCAGCGGGGGTCCGGCCGGGCGGGGGCGCCGGGGGACCGAGGCTGCTCCCCTGCCACCTGGCCCGCGCCAGGAGCCTCCCCGCCGTGACCTTCACGGGGCTGCGGGGCCGCCCGGCGGCCAGGGTCCGGACCAGCGCTCACCTGAGGCGTCCGCAGAGGGAGCTGCCCGGGCCGCGCGCCGCACAGCAGCCCCCGGGCCCGCGCACCAGGCAGCCCCGCGCCCCCCGGGCCCAGCACCGCCCGGCGAAGCGAGGCCGCCGTCGCTGCCATCTTGGCCCTCTTCAGCGGGCGCCGCTCCCGTCGGCCCCTGCGGCGCCACGGGAGCTCAAACTTCGCGAGAGCTGGGGCGCGCGGGGCGGGGCCGGGGCGCGCGGGGCGGGGCCGGGGCGCGCGGGGCGGGGCCGGGGCGCGGTCTCCTCGCGCTCCACCGGTTGTCATGGAAACCGGAGGGACTTGGTCGCGTCTCCCTGTTGCGATGGCAACGCCCAACTACCCCAGTTTCTCCGGCCCGACCGCCAGTCTCCGGGGCTTGGAGGCAACGTTCCCCAGACGCCCGGTCGTCCCCAGTCCGGAATTTACTGCATCTTCGAGGCCATCGTGCGCTTTCGCCCAGCGGTATTTCCAGACCTGGCGCGGTGTCACAGCGCATCCTGCCCCTCGGGTTGCCGTAGCGGACAGACCCCCAGAGAGAAGGGGCGGCTAGGCCGGGCCGCCCAGCGGGATGCGGTGGGGGTCTCGCGGCCCGCCCCTGCCCTCCTGCGGCTCCCCGCGCTCCGCCTCGGCCACAGCCGCCCGGGCTCCAGGAGAGGGAGGGCGGTGCGGGAAGGCTGGGGCCTCGGGGCTGCAGACCTCCACCCCTGCCCGGGCCCACACGCATGGCTAGGGTGTCTCCCCTCCAGGCTGTTCACACTGTGCTCTCCCTCATCCATCTGACAAGGATTTATTAGTCACATATATGCCCAGAAACGGTTAGATGCAGGAGCCACGAGCATGGCAGCCAACGTCCCTCAAGAAACCAGTACTGTTGGTGAGAATGGAGGAATAAGGCTCTCGAAAAATTTGCCCCATCCATAAAAGCAAGGAAAAGAAAACAAAAATTGTCGAAGTCAACTTTTTTAGAACTCTGGAAATTAATCAAAGGCTTTCAGCGCTCCTAGGAGTGTTTATTTAAGAAAAACAACCGGGGGGCCGGCCCCGTGGCCGAGTGGTTAAGTTCGCGTGCTCCGCTTCGGTGGCCCAGGGTTTTGCGGTTCGGATCCTGGGTGCGGACATGGCACCGCTTATTAGGCCACGTTGAGGTGGCGTTCCACATGCACAACTGAAAAAAAATAATTACAACTATGTACCGGAGGGCTTTGGGGAGAAAAAGGAAAAAAATAGAATCTTTAAAAAAAGAAAGAAAGAAAGAAAGAAAGAAAAACAACTGGATCTTGGTAAGAACAGTGAGCTTTGTGGTGTTTTAACTTTTTCTGGTCCAACTGCTGCTGTCCAGCTCAGTGGTAGTCTTGGAAAGAACAGCCCACATTCCTGGTACTGGAGGGAGCAGAACACCCTCACTGCAAAGAACTGTCATTATTTAACCTGTCTGATGGCTCCCTGGAAGATCCCACTTACAAAGCTGACTCAGCTTG